TTTGGAAACAGCAACATGATCGCACAGCGTCTCACCCTTCGTTTGCCCATCATCCCAGAAAAGTTTCTCCTTTGCTTCTTTGTTCTCATCTAGGCAATGGTAAGACCAAGAGGGTTCTTTCACTGTGGGGAACAACAAGTGATTCAAGAGACAAAGACAGTAATGAGAATTTTGCCAATGGAGTTGAGAATATTTCACTAGATTTCAAACTGGAAAAGACACTAGCAGCAGATGGTTCTTTGTGAAATGAGAAGTATCCCCAAGAGGAGACTTCTGGCACTAAAATTCCAACAGTCCTGGCAAACAAATGAGGCTGATCACCTGGCTGTTAGCGTGTTTTGAAAAGCAATTCAAAGGGTTTAAGGAAGGACATGAACTACAGTCTTTCAAAATCCATTGGATACAGTTCTAAAACAGCAGCTTCTGCAAAGCTGTTGTGAATCGTGGCTGCTCCCATGTTGACTTCCATCTCAGATGTGAGATTAAAATGACGTTCTTAGACCTATCATCTCACTCCCTTTAGATCTTCAAAGAGTTATTAATAATGAGCTGAGTATAGAGTCTGAAAAAGATTAACACACAAACAAGCAAACAAAGAACAACAAGTGTTGAGTAAAATTGCATGCGGGCTTGAGAGTGATGCTTACGTTTTGTGACTTATTACACATTGTTGAGCTAACTGACATGTAAAGGAAAACCTGAGTCCTGTCATTCACCTTAAGTGGGTGTTCAGTGCAGGTTTGCCAGGGCAGATGTGGCCCCACGGACATGAAGTGACAATGTGGTCAAGAGGGGCCGGCAGGGTCTTCCACTCTCCTCTTGCGTTCACATCCACACCCTGTGGGCAGAAGAAGGTAAGAGATGATGAAGGAGAGGAAAGGACCTCCTGAACAACGCATCCTGCCAGACATCTCATCCTTCCCTCTGAACTTATGCTCACCATCACCCTCTTCACCACTTACCTGCCATTACCCATTCTGCATTCACCAGTGCTGCATGTACCGCAAGGCTACTATCATATCTTGTTAGGTCTATGCCTTGCTTCCACCGTGATAAACTACACTTGCCTGATATGTGACAGAAAGAGGTGCTACTCTCTCATCTGAATCAGAAACCTAACCTAAGGGACCATCCTTCCATCCTACATGTTGTCAACTAGAGCAGGGCTTTTCAATCTCAGCACCATTGAGATTTGGGGCCAGACACTTCTCTGGTGATGGGGTAATCCTGTGCCTTTTGATATTTAGCAAAATCCTGCAGATGTCAGCAGCACGCTCCTCACCCCCACCCTCTGTGCCAGTAAAAATATCTCCACACTGCCAAAATGTCCCCTGGGAGGCAAATCTTCATTTAAGAGGTACTACTTTACAGGTAAGAAGCTGTTATTGTTGAGAACTAGCGAATATGCATGGCTATGTTCCAATAAAACTTTATATGCAAATCAGCTAACAACCACATTTTTTTGTAGGCCGTAGTTTGCCAGGCTGTGCTCTAGAACGAGTAATAAGTACCCAAACTTGGGAAGGTGACACTTCATTAATCCTAACTATGAGATTCTGCCTCATTTCTTAATTAAACATCAAAAATTTCATCTCTTTTTTTCTTTTTCTGAGACAAAAGGCTCGTTCCATCGCCCAGGTTGGAGTTCAGTGGCACAATCTCAGCCTCGCTGCAACCTCCGCCTCCCAGGTTCAAATGATTGTCCTGCTTCAGCCTCCCAAGTAGCTGGGACTACAGGTGATCTCCACTACACCAGCTTTCTTTTTTGTATTTTTAGTAAAGACAGGGTTTCACCATCTTAGCTAGGATGGTCTTGCTCTCCTGACCTTGTGAATCATCCACCTTCGCCTCCCAAAGTGCTGGGATTACAGGTGTGAGTCACACCTGGCCCAACTTCATCTTTTCTAAACAGTTTGCTCCACGCATTTCTTTGTCTTTCCCTTCTTCGATCAAAGACATCTTCTGTTACTGAATGGGAGACTCAACATGCACACTCAGGACAAACATCAGTCTCACTTAAAGAAAGCTGGCCACTTCTTCCTAGGGAAGACTCGGCTAGAAAGCACATAGCAGAGCCTTAACATGTAACCACCCTAAGGGCAGATCCAGACTAGCAACAGGAAGGGGAGCCTGGGGCAGTGGAGGGGACTAGGGCTCCAACAGACTGAGAAGAGAAGGAACAAAATTGTACATCCTTCTCCAGTTTTCACCTAATCTCCACTACATCCCCTTGGATGAAAGGCCAGCACATGCTCTGCTTCCCGTTTCCCGCTTGCACCCTTTGCTGTTGCCAGCCCTCAACTATGTTCTCCTCAGAAAGTCAGAAGAAGAAGCCTGGTTAGAAACGAAGGATTCTTTGATTCTTCTTCCTGAAGAATCAGATCTGACTTGTCAGAGTCCCAGCAAGAGACCACCACCCCAGAGCTGCCCTGGAAGACCCTGACTTCCCAGCTGAGTCTTTGGGAATCATACTAGCAATGAAACTATGCGGCAAGGAGCTCTTCATTGCTGCCTCATTTCTAAATGTACTTGCAATTAAGCTAGACTCACAAGGGTTGGGTCCTTACACCTCTGTGTGTGTTTTGCACATTGTCTAATCACTTGTGGACCTGAAAATTATGTGCATCACTTTCTTTGAGCATCTATGCGATGGAAGGAGATATTTAATAAAAAGAGACAAAACGGCCTCTATGCTTACAAACTTACAGGAGGCAAAGATATCAACATTAAAACTAAACTAACTTGGCAACACAATCTCAAATGTTGGCTAGCATCTGCCTTTACACAACATGGTAAATAGCAGTGATATAAGGAAATATTAAAACTAACACAAAGAGAACACCCACAAAATCCAGATCCTGAGTGAGATGCTTGTGTGTTACTTCATAAGGGTTCTATGAGGGAAGTGGCCTTACCCTACTTGGAGGTGAGAAAACTGAGATTACAAGGGTTAAGATGGCTTCTAAGAACACATGTGTGGGTTACAGATCCAGCATTTGACCTATGTCCATCAGATCTAAAGCCTTTGTTCTCTCTACCATTCCCATGTTGTATAAACATTCAAAAAACTTACCGTAGTAATCGTATCAGCGGGCTCTAGGAAGTATGCAGTGACATTTCTGGCATTCTAAAATGAAACACAAACAAGGTGAGGCACTGGGCACCATATGCCAGGACAGAGAAATCAAACTGATTAGGAAAGAGGTGAAATAATTGTGATGGCTTTGGACCCATCTGCCTCACATCTGGAGAGGTTAGCGACTGGGGCAACCTTCTTCTCGTTTTCTTTTTTAAACGGCAGATTTGTCTACCCAAAACAAGTGGCTTTCATAAAGCACTTTGGTATCCAGGACTGGGAAAATAAATCACTGTTTGCTTATAAACATAGACTTACCCCATTTCCTCTTAAAGAGACAAACAACTGAGGTTGTGTTTGGGCAGAAGAAAAAATTTTGTGGGTACAGTGGGCTCTTTTGGGGGCCAGGATGTGGCTCACGCGTGAAATACCAGCTCTTTGGGAGGCCGAGGGGTGCGGCTCAAGAGGTCAGGATATCGAGACCACCCTGTTCAACATAGTGAAACCCTGTCTCTATTAATAATACAAAAAAAATATTAGCCAGGCATGGGGGCACGTGCCCGTAGTCTCAGCTACTCGAGAGGCTAAGGCAAGAGAATCACTAGAACTCGGGTGGCGGAAGTTACACTGAGCCAAGATCATGCCACTGCACTCCAGCCTGGGCAACAAAGTGAGATTCTGTCTCAAAAAAAAAAAAAAAAAAAAAAATGTTTGGGGGAGGTACAATTAACTGGTATTTTAATCAGAAGCCTAATCAACAACAGAAGTAAAGAACGGCTTTACTGCTGGGAGGTAATCCTGCACAGGAAGGAAAAGGGTAGCCAGCAGCAATACAAGTAATACATTGCCGGGCAATCCTTCTGAAGAGTTGTAATAGTGCTAGAGAACTCATAAATTCTTTACGACACTGCCCCCATCTTTACGACACTGCCCCCATCTGGCCTTCTATTCCTTATTTTAGTTAATGAAGAAATGATTGTGTCATTGAATATACCACGAGGTGTTTTCTTCTTGATCATCCTATGAAGTAGAGTTGTTAGGCTCATTTTAAAGATGAAGGAGCTGAGGCCCACAACACCTAAGTGATGGACTTCAGCCTGTGAAGGAGAGAAAGAGACACAGGGAGAATAAGAAACCATGTCTTACGACCCCAACCAGCTCAGGCCTCTCTCCTCGTCCTTTCCCCCAAGCCTCCCCCATCAGAGGCCTCCATACTCACGCGCCCTCCAGGACAGGGCTGACCAGGAAGGCTGGCCCAGCAGGAACTGGGACTGTCTATGTCCCACGTCAATTGGTCTGACACAAACCTGGAAAGGGAAATGAAGGTGACCAACAGAGCCCAACAGAGCCCCAGCCCGAGACTCTGAAGAAGTTCCCAAGTTCAGATCCAGTTGGAAATCCAGCTGCCCCGAGCCATCCTGTCTTATCCCTAGGCCTAGCTTCATCAGGAGCACTAGCCTCTGCTCTCCCCAAGGATATGTTTCAAACCATGAAATGCTGGGATGTAGATGTGTTCTCTCCTGTAAACTATTATCGCATTTCTTAACCCTTTCACATTTTAAATGTAAGGATGGCACTCCTCCCTCAAATCTCTTGCTGAAATCCTTCTTTGTGACTTGGGTCCATATAACCAAAACTGCTATAAAAGATAGATAGGTTCTTGCACAGCCAAATGAGAATGAAACTATTCTATGCTGTATGGCATCATTTCAATTTTGTACATTCAATAAATAGTCTTTTTTTCACGACCTATGGTACGTATAACACTGTGCTAAAGAGAGTAACAAAGTATGGTCTGCGCCTCAGGAGTTCATGTCAAAAGGCAAGCATGTCTTTCATTTGGAAGAATTGTGTATATCAACTCCCTCCATATACAATGCAATAAGTCATTCATTAGTCATCAGGATCCCTGCTGGACACTCACTCATGAAGCAGAGGCCGCACAACAGTGACGCCCTCCATGTGGGCCTTATACATCAAGGTATACAGATATGGCAACAGGGTGTATCTGGTCTGCAGGACATTTCTGGAAATGTTCACAAAAGCAGCATCCCAGGACACAGGGTCTTGTCTCTAAAGGAGAAAGAGAACAGTATTGGGAGCATGCCCTGGAAGTTCTAGGGGATTTAAGAAGGTCACTGAAGGCATATTCCAACTGAAGATCACTCAGAGCTAAACAAAAGAAAACTATACATGAGGCTCAGGGAATACTAACAGACTGGAAAAGAATCATGGAAGTTTCCTAGGACAGCTGATAAAATCTCACTGTAAGACATTCTTTTTGGTACAATTTTGCCTAAAATACAGGAAAAAAAAAAATCTGAAGAACACTGAGGGATATGGTTCATTGAGACACCAGGTTGTAACAATTTTTAAGGGTGCACTGGGTCATGCCTATATTCCCAACACTTTCGGAGGCTGAGTCGAGTGGATCACTTGAGCCCAGGAGTCAGAGACCAGCTTGAGAAATATGGCAATACCACATCTTACAAAAAATGCAAAAATTAGGTGGGCACGTTGGTATGTGCCTGTAGTCCCAGCTACTCAAATGGCTGAGGTGGGACAATTGCTTTAGACCCAGAGGTCGAGGCTGCAGTCAGCCATGATTGGGACACGGCACAATCTCAGTCTGGACAAAGAGTAAGTACCAGTCCCCCGCTCCCAAACAAACAAACAAAAAAAAAAAAAAACAAAATAAAACAACAACAAAAATTTTTTTAAAGATATCCCAAGAAATACAACCGCGTTAATTTTAGCTCGAAATGGGAGATTGCATTTCTAATGACACATTAACACTGAGACAGAAGCCGCTGTCCTACCCTAGTCCCAATGGTGTTGTGGTTTCTTGGAGAAGGGGTAAAGGCCCCTCAGCTGCATCCAGTAACACACATCTCATATTCAGCATCTTGAAAGAACCCACAGATATCTGCTCCCGTCTGAAACAAGAGGAAATAAAACAAGCCTGCTGATGATTTCTGAAAGATGTCAGCCTACCTTCTTGGTGCTTAGGAGGATCCCAAGGATACTCACATAGGATATGCCGAAGAGGCTGAACTCCATCATGCCTGCAATGAGAAGCACAGCAGTGTCACACCAGGCTCTCACCACCTCGCCTCCTCACCTCCTTCCTCCCTCCCCAAGCGATCCCAACTCCCTGCCCTACCGGCACAGGCCCTGGGAAGGAGCCACGCACCAATGATAGATTTCTTCAGCTGATCCCACGCGGCCGTGTTGTCTCCCCAGCCAATGTCCTGCCCAGCGGCCATGGAAGAGGGAAATGTGGAGCGGTTGATGACCACTCGCATGTCCCGGGCCACCTCCTGCATGGCTCTGGTTGGAGGGCAACAGGAGGTGAACTGAGGGCACGGCCAAGGGAGCAAAGGCCACAGAGCTTCTGCTCCCAGAGCCCTTGAGCCTAGTCAATGTTTGCTGCGTGATTGGAGGGAACATGGGAATCTGAGCTGCAATGGGGGCCCCACTGACCCCAGATAATGGAGATAACGAAATACTTGTTCACAGTGCTTTACAAAGAACTTCACTGTAGCAAACTCACTGGAGTGGCCAAAAATAGTAAGGTTTTACTAAATCTTGCTATTGATTTCCTCACGTAGTTTTCTATATTTGAGGAGGAACACAGGAAGATCATAAGGCTGTCTCCAGAAGAATTCATACCATTCGCTTGGAGCTTGCAAAAGGGACTGTGTTATCAGAGAATACCAGTTACCCTCCACCAAGAATAGCCAAAAATAAAAATCTCAAAATATGATTCACTTTTGAAATAAAGGGGAGAGATGCCCAGTCCCTGTGTTCCTTCACCTCCTGTAACTAAAACTATTGTACCACCGGCTGCCCTGTGTGATCATTATGGTGTTCTATGTGTGTCGCTCCCACCAGATCATTAAGCAAGTTTTTCACTGGTGGGACCATGTCTTATTTAAATCTGTCCTCCTCCTTTTCATCAGAGGGCCTGGCTCCACGTCAATGAGCATTTGTTTAATAAGAATCATTGCCATCGGTTGTCATGAGAATCTTCTTAACCCTTAGGAATGGGAATGAAAGAAACTAGGTGGCCTGTCAGTCCCTGGCAATCCTCTGCTGAGACAGCTGGAAAAGTGAGACTCACTGTATGTGTCTGGTCTGGGACCACCTCCGTACAGGCTGTGCACGTTGTAGTGCTGCACCGGGAGCCGCCTGGGAGGATCTGTTGATCTCCATGCACAGGGTCTTGCTGCTCAGGCCCCTGTCCCTGGACTCCAAATCTGAGGAGGAAGAACTGGTGAGGTGAACCAACAAGATATGAACCCAAGTATAACTCCAAAGTCCATCAGCTCCATCATAAGGGGAAGCCAATAATTCCCACCCATTGATGACACTAGAAATTTTCGTGATGGAATTCACACAAGCCGAAAACTAAGAAACCTAGCTGAGAATCCTTTGTGGCATGAGCACTGCTATGCTTTCTGGACAAATTTTGGTGAAATTTGCTCTAATGAATCTAATTACTTGCACATGCCCATCTGGGTAAAGCAAGTGCAGCGTTTTGTCTCTGGTCCTCAGTAAAACCACAGCAGCCATGAGGATGCCTGTGCAGGCACAACCCTGGCTCTGGCTCCTCCAGTGGCCATCCTTCCAGTCCTAGCTGTGCCAGTCAAGGAGGCCAAGGGTTCTTACGTGGCATGTAGGGGAGGGCGGTTCAGAGAGGCGTCCCTGCAGCCTGAGAAACTGCCCATTCACGAAGCTTGATGGTTCATTCATATCCTAGCAATGCCAAACACAGACATACCTCACTCTTTAAGATAATTATGTCCAGCCAATTCTGAGCCAAGGAAGCAGTGAATACATTGTTCAACATCCAGTAATCCTGTAGATGCCAGCCCTGGGAACCCATCAACCTGGTGAGAACTGGCTGGAAAGATTAATTTACTCCTACAGAATGACTGGCTAGTGGTTTTAAAAATAAATCTCTTCCCAGGTGGTTGTGATGAAATCAAATTTCCAAGAAATTCCTAGTAAATTGCCTCCAGGAGTTTTGTTTTTTTTTTTTTACAGATTTTGAGAGGGTGTTTCGCTTCTTGTTTCCAGGCTGGAGTGTAATGGTGCGATCTCGGCTCACCGCAAACTCTGCCTAGTATGTTCAAGTGATTCTCCTGCCTCAGCCTCCCAAGTAGCTGGAATTATAGGCATGCCCCACCACACCCGACTAAGTTTGTATTTTTAGTAGAGACAGGGTTTCTCCAAGTTGGTCAGGCTGGTCTCAAACTCTCAACCTCAGGTGATCTGCCCACCTCAGCTTCCCAAAGGACTGGGATTACAGGCATGAGTCACCACACCGGGTCCAGCCTGAGAGGTTTTACAGTAGGAGCCTTAGGTCCGGTACACGGTCTGAGGGCTATCAGGGATGTCCCATTCCTGAGAGGAGGAAGTGTTTGATATTTCCAAAGTCTTCCTTGGACAATGACTATCCTCTTGACTGAAGGTCAGTGGTACGTATACTCAGGCACACAAAGATAGACAAGTGCCACAGGTACACACACACACACACACACACTTACAATCCATAGGCCATCAAACTTTCAAGCTCCTCTCTGGATTCTGTGGATTGCAGAGTTCTCTTCTATTTCCTTTTCCACCACTTGGCAGTTGAATTCACGGAAAGTCTGGGAAGGCCACGTAAGCTCGATATAGCTGTAAAATATAAATATAATTTATATGTCCCACACGAATATGTAAGACAGCAAACAGACACTTACTGAGAATGCAACTCACACAGATATTTGAACTACATGGTGACAGACGGCCTGAATGGGGCCTAAATAATGTTATTAACTAATTAGAGAAACGTAGAATGAGAAGAGAAATTAGTGCAATTTGCACACCTTCCCAGCATTTGGAAAACATCCAAAAACTGTTCTCTTCATATACACATGATGACAATCAATGACCTGAACTAGGACCTCATGCATTCGACACCCAACCCTCAACGCCAGTCCTGCCATTTCCTACACTCTCAAAGACAAAGCCAGGGAGAGACTGCAGACATGAGATGCATGGTAATAGGTTAGGAAGAAACACCCAGGGAGTCCCTCCCATATCATTCCCACTGAAACAGGGGAGGAAGGAATAAGATTACATTTCAGGATATTCGACCAGTACGCCTGCGTTTTCTACAATTTCAGAATCACAGGACAACTACGGCTGTTGAGCATAAATTGAGAGGACTTAAAGAGAATACATCGATTTCCTCTTATTTCCCTCTCTTCCTCAAATAATAAAAGTAGTAAGCCTTTTATTCACCTGAAAGACAGATTCAAGATACAACTTTTCATCTACATTGTAGATTTTTGAGAGTAAGAAGTTTGTTTTATATTCTTCTGAGTGATATTTATATTGCCCACAATGCCCAGCTTTAGAACTCTGGCATAAAATACTCAGTGTTTACTAGAGGGTTCACACCACGTAGAAGCAGCAAATAAATATCCATACATTTTAATATACTCATGTTGTTTGTTATGGAACATTACGGTCCTTTGTATGTCTCAGTAAATAGCTTCCTCTATGCTAATCACACCACTGTAAGAGTTAAAGAGCTAAAGAATGCTTGTGAGGAGGGTAGGGGAGGCAACAGAAAAAGGACTTGGGCTAGTGGAACTCCAGTTCTTATACACTACAGATAAAAGGCAGGTAGGACCCAGATGTCTAGATAAAGGGCAAAAGAAGGAACACAAGAAAACAGAAACAGATCAGCCTGCATGGGTCTGGCTGTCAAGGATGTGAGAAGACAGCAGCTCACACACACAGAATCTTGAGAGAAGTGGGCTTGCCAGGGATGCCTTTTGTGAGGAAATGGAGGCAGAAACCAGGAAACCCATTAAGAGAACTTTTCACCAGAAACAGAGAGCTCCAGATCAGGCAGGGTTAGAAACAATGGGATAGGTGTGGGACGGAAAATTAGAATAAAGAGAGTATCAGCCATATCTGAGTCAGAATTATATCCCATACGGGCAATACGGGGAACTGGCCAGCCATGACGTATGAACTTCCCTAAGTACTGCTCGGACGAATTCTACCAACTTCATAAAAATGCTCTGCCATTCTCCAAGGTGCTGACTTTGCCTGCCCATATTCAAGTCTTGCCTTGTGGCTTCTAAGCCACTTTCTCCAGTCTTCAAACAGTGATGTACCCACCCACGCACTGGGCCTCAGGACCACCTAGCAGTCTTTTTGTAGCACATCACATGCTACAGATCGCAATTCATAGAGATCCCATCAGAGACTTATTGAATTAAATCACTGAGCTTTGGACCAGAAATCTGCTTTTCATAGGCTTCTTTGGACTGTTTATGCTCAGCGAAGCCAGGCCTGTACATCAGTGGCTTCATCCTCATCAGCCTGTCAAGTGGGTCTCACTATTAATAATATAACATAGATTGGTGCAAAGGTAATTTTGGTTTTGGAATTAAAAGTAATGGCAAATATTACTCAGAACCAACCTAACAATTACAATTATTCTATCTACCAACAATCTCTTATGAGCTACCTAAAAGATTATTATATGTAGAATCCTCTAATGAATGTTTTTATCAGAAACCCAACTGGCATTTGAGGTGATAAGATTTTTTTGTGGAGAATTCCCTGCAATCAGAGCTATCGGCATCCCCCGGTTTACTGCCCATTAAAGGCCACCTGTGTCCCTGTGATAACCAGCACTGCCCCCTCAGATTTCCAAATGGCCTCAAGGTGGCAGTGTTGCCCCTACTGGCTGCTGAACTGTGGGGCTCATAATGTAGTACCTGACTACTTGATAAAAGACAAGAGGCCAATGACCCAGAACTTCTCTGGCTGGGCGGTGGTTCCTGTGTCCATGTGGCTGCTTGACCCCTAAGCTTCAAGTTATTCATCAGAGAAGTAACAAGAGGACAGGAAGCTAGGCTTTCTCCTTTGAATACTTATCTGATAGATGATAGATAAATAGACAGATACAGAGTAGATACAGTAGGTAAATGGATAGATACGATAGATAGATACATAGATAGGTAGATAGATAGATAGATAGATAGATAGATAGATAGATAGGAGCTGTGATAGACAGACAGACAGATATACATAGATAGACACTTGTTCAGTACTACATAAAAGGAAAACAGCCTGAACTGGAGTCTGACTCATTCTTGTCAATCTTCAAAACCTGCCCCAGCTTCTGTTTTGTTTGTACTGTTTTACTGAATTTACCGACATAAAATAAAGACATGGAGTCCAATATTCAAGCAACCTGGTCCCAAGCGTGTCTCATTTTAAATTGAAAAGAGCAACAGCTGCCAACTGGCTCTGGAATCCAGGAAGTCAGAGACTGACAACAGAGAAGTAGGCATCACAGGCTTGCAGTACCTTCTGATCTCACTACCCCTGCTGGAGCTGTCCGAGGTCCCAGCCAGGCTCCAGATTTTGTGGTTGCATCTATTATAATGCCTTTCCTCTAGAACTCACCACTTGCCCTGAAAACCAGTTTATCTGGATAAGGCATGAATTTTTGGCCTAACTCCTGCTGTGGGGTCACGTTCCTGGTGATGAGTGTTTCTCCTGCACTCCTCCGTGGCTACAATCTTTCATCATGTAGAAAGAACCCCAAAAAGAGGTCTTCGCCCCTGGGCTTCTGAGTGGCTGCTAACTGAATTTACAACTGCTGGGATTTGCTCCACAATATGATATTTCTCTGATTAACACTTGATCCTGAGAGACCCAGACTCTACAACATATACCACATTGCTGACTGCACAGGATAGTTCCTTTGTCCCTTCAATTCCTGGCAGATGCTAGAAAAGAGGCCTTTCCTGGTCTCCTCAGCTCTGTGGGGGTCACATAGGCTACACATGCCTGCTACAATTCCTACCCAGAAAGAATAAACCATTATTGAAGAACAGCTCAAGAGGTAGGGTGAAGTGTACTTGCTCTCGAGAAGTCCCTGACTCACTCCCCAACAATCCTGCCTGTGGGTACAGTCACAAAAATTGATAGTAAAGCTCAAAGGCTGCCTCAGTTCAGGAGACACACATCTTGGCCAGATGATGGGGCTGTAGGCTTCCTAGCCCTGTAAGGAGCCATGTATTCATTCAAGCAAGAAATACTTAGTGAATCTGGATTAAAAATTCAGGTCCAGAAGCATGGGCTACCTGGATCCATTATAAGCAACAAAAACCGTCTACAGGAGAGAGAGGTTTGGCACAAGTGTTGGAAACTGAGAGGTAAAAACAAAGGTGAGAAATGCAAGGAAGGATTGGGCTCAGAGGAGGACTTATAAGTGTGAAGATGGAGAAACCTGTTCATGGGGAAAAAAAAAGAAAAATATACAAAGAAAAAGACCTAGTCAGTCTTCCAGGATTGAAGACTGTTAGAAAGGGAAAACCATGGCAACAACGGTAAGTATGCCAGTCCAGGGAGAAGATAGCACTTAGGACGTATCACCCAGTGGAAATTCTCTGGGCCTTGAATCTGATAGCCTTGAATTGAAATCACCACTTGTCATGTAAAACTGAGAAAAGTAATTTGCTTTCCCGGTCTTGAATCCCAAGCATAATAATACATATCTACATCCCAGTGGACAGTAAAGGATTACTCCATATGAGGTAATGGGCACAGACTGATACCTAAGACACATGACCTAAGTCTTTGTCCTTGTCATGTCCATGTCCATTGGGTACAGGCATGTCCAGAATCGAGAACGACTGCTCTGTTTGAAAACACTGATCACAATCTCCAAATCTGAAAAGACCCTTTACCTCCACTTGGCTGTCCCAGTTCAGATTCATTCACAACAACACCAGGAAAATCAGGCCAAATCCTATGAGAAACATACCAGTAGCGATGCACGAGACAGTTTCTTACATAGGATTTCAAGAAATTGTTACAAACCATGTCCTAGGAGCGATGATACTTTGACTATCATGTAGGATTGACATAAAAGAAAAGTGAATTCCATAACATGCTACATTACTTTAAAACTCATTAATTGTATCAACAAATATTGTTTGAGAAATGGAGAGCTTCAGACCTTGGGTCAAAATAGAAAATGCCAAAAATAAAATCCACAGGCGTGTGACCCACTAACCATGACCCACTCTCAGGCTAGGGACTAGTGGATCATCCCTTAGATTATGGTTTTCTCAGACAATGTCTCCACCATCTGCATATTTGATGAAGATGTCATCCTCCAAGCCCCGAGTGAAGGCAGGATAGGGCTGTGTCTCATTGCCAGAAATGGCTGGATCCTGAAATCAAAGCATAAGTCAGCTGGGAAAACCAAAGCCAGAGAATGAGGAGAAACAAAATAAAGGAAAACTCCTCCAAGGTGAACTCGCTGGCTTCTACCTGAACTGTAGACTTTCTGTGAGTCCTGGGAAATACAGAATTCTTACTGCACTTCAATTTATCTATTTGCAACATGGAAATAAAGTATAACTCTTTCTCCACCAAAGCCCATACCTGCTCCCAAACTGACCACACACATTCACATCAGGACTAACCAGAATGAGGATGACCCGCATCCCATCAGCCTTCATGCGGTTGATCAGAGTTGGAAACCCAGCAAACTTGGGGCTGAGGGTGAAGTCCAGCTGCCGCCTTCTCCATGTAGTCATGTCTGAGTACTGGGCACGTCCTGGGCGGAGGACACGGGGAGCTGAGTGGCTGCTGCTGTACACGCTCAAGATTTACAGGAGAACAACCCTCCACTACACATGGTGGAATTCCCAGACAGCTTCTGTCGATGCTTTCAAATCCCAGCTTGCTATTTCTTAGATACAGGTGCTGAGAATCACTTAATTTTTAAATGTTCAGTGATAAGATAGACAAAAATCAAAGTCAGCATAAAGTAGGATGAGAATGTGTCTCTAGCATGGCTATTCTGAGGAAAAGAAAAAACACTGTTTGGAAAGTGCTTTGTAAATTGCCCACATCAAGTGTGATTGTGGGATGACCTCCTACAAGAGGCTGCCTCGATATCAGTGGTTCATGTTGAGGAAAAATATTGTTAATCATCCAGGGGTAATGGCAACCTACTACAAAACAAAGTAAAGATGTATAGTTGATTTGGAATCCTGAATCTTGAGGGTAATCATACACAACATCTTTCCTGAGACTGTAATATGCATTTCACAACTAATTAATGGAAACACTATGTTCCACTAATGGAACAATCGTAAACAAGAAAAAAGTGGGATAAAATTGAATGTGGGATGGTTCATGGAATCAATTCTTCTGATGACTGGGTCCCCTCCCTGTCCTCTCCTGAAGGATAAGGTTTATTTCATCTGTATGTCCTCCTGGAAAACTCCATCCCAGGATTTGTAATCCATCAGTTATTGGCCCAGAGCTGATGCAGGAACTGAGATTGTATCTATACGTACAGTTGTCTGACCGATTTGTGGTTGGGCTCCTAAGAATTAAGTAAAGGAACTGTGGGATATTATTTATTCTCATGAAACCAAAGACGTTTTTGACTAGAATACTGAAGTCATGAAAGAAATGGAAGGAAACATGACACAGCAGAAAGAGCCCTGGAGCCAGCCTTCCATTCCTCCGGGAAATCACAGTGAGTTTTGGAGTTATCATCTCTAGAAGATGGAAAACAAGCACTTTAACTACATTACTGTGCTCGGGTGAGGCTGTAATATTGTCTGAAAAAGAACATTATGTCTTTATAGAATCCCACCAACATTAGACAAATGAACCCAGACACAGAGGCACCTGGGTTAGTTACGTTAACCCAGAGCCATGACTGGTGAACGCATAAGGGATCTGGGCGGCCACCATGTCATCATACAAGCTGGCGATCTCAGAGTCGTTCTCGTATCCATAGCGACACAGCTGGAAACCCAAAGACCAGTAAGGTACCATCACAGGCCGGCCAATCAGCTAGAAAATAGACAGAAAATATTAGTCCTCAAAACAGAGGCACCAGGATTGAAGCTGTGCACTCTGGCACAAGAATATTTTTCCATGCCCCAAGCTAGACAACTAACAAAATGGAAATCAAGACCAAACTGACAGGATATAGAGCCACTGGGATACTTGGAGAAAGTTTTCTGCTAGGCTTGACCTCCTTCTTAAAGATTATGGAAAAGCTGATTTTACTCCATTCCTAGAGACACTGTAGGTAACTCATTAAGAAGCCCAGAATCAGAGACAAATGCCTGGCTTAGCATACAGGCTCCAATCCTGCTACCTGTGTGAACTTAAACAAAAATTAAGTAAACTCTTAGTGCTTCAGTTTCTTCATCTGTAAATAAGGGATAATAGCATCTGCCTCATCGCTTCCTGTGAGGTATGAATGAGTTAATATGGTGAAGTGCTCTATCATGCAGCAAGTGATAACCAGTGATGTGCACCTGGTAGTATATAAGCATCTGCTGTTGCTGCCACAACCACCATGGTCATGGGTCACCATCATCATTATCAACGCTTACCATCAACACTATTTTCACCATCACTACCATAGCATGATCATGCCCCCACCACCATCATTACCATTATCATTACCCTTCACTACCATCACCACCACCCCACTACCACCCCTACCACCATCCCCAACATTACCACTATCATCACAACCACTATCACCAACATCACACTCCTCACATCACCCCACCGTCACCACCACCACAACCATAACCACCATCATCTACCACAAATACCATGATCACCCCACCCTTGTCACCATCACCACCACTATCATTATCACCAACACACCCATCACCACCACTACCACCACTATCATCACCATCACCACCACTACCACTACTACCACCATCATTATCACCATTCCCACATCACTATCCCCACTGTCAGCCCCTACTGCCACCATCACTATCACCACCACCATAACCACAAACACCACCACCACCACACTATTACTACCATCACCATCACTAGTACCAGTATAACATCTGCTCTTCTGCAATGCTTACAGAGGCTATACACTTAATGATAATCTGAATGTATTTATTTTTTTCTTATTCTATAATCCCTCTCCAAGAAAGACCAATATTTCCAGTTATCATGTGAGAGTTATACTAATCAATGTGGGCTCTGGCATCCAGAATGTGCTGTATAAGTGCTTGATAAACAACTGGATTTCTTCCTACCTCAGTGTACTGCTGGGTGACAAGCTCTGAGTTGGCCCCAAGAACACATAAAAGTCCAGAACTCCTCTCTGTGGTAATGGCATGTCAAGGCAGGCAGGGTTGGAATGTCACGCCTGAAAATTGAAGAAAAATGCCAACCCAGATGGAAACCTTCCACATCACGAGGGAAACCTTCCCACATCACCCTGAAATCCACACATTCTCCATCTTCCTGTTCCCTCCCCTATCACAGAGTGGCTAGAAGCAGGTATTGTCTATCATACTCACACAGAACTGAAGAAGATCAGTGGAAGTCTACCTGCTCCGAGTCCCTGGGTTTGATTCTCCTTAGGGTACTTTACTGTATTTTGTCATTCAACTCTTGTTAAATTACTACATTTTACATTTCAAGTTTTATGTTGGATAAAGAGATACATGTTCAGATTTTTTACATGGGAATATTGTGCGATGCTGAGGTTTGGGAGTATGGATCCCGCTACCCAGATACTGAGCAGAGTACCCTAGAGGCAGTTTTTCAACATACCTTACACACTCAGACCCCCAGAACAACTTCCCTGACCCATAGTTTTACCTAATTCAAATTATATAACTGGCTCCTACGAGCTGGGACTTCCAGGATATTTGGGACCCACGTGGTGTTACTTATCCTTCTTATGTGATTTTTACCAAAATGAGGGTTGGGTTAAATTCTCTTATAACATGATCCTATACTGAAATAAACAGAAAGGCTAAACACAAAGAAAAATTAAATACCAATGCCCATAAAATGAAAATTTTGACTTCAAGGAAGAGTTAGGCTAACACATTCTAAACTGACTCAAGCATGATTGATAGCTCCCAAAACAGTGGAGGTGCGGGACTTGGCCTTACCCATGGCATTGCTGTTCAGCAGGAACACCCATGGGCATTGCCGGCCCTCCTCCAGCCCCATGTAGTAGGGGTGGACACCATAGGAATTCTTCTTGTACTGGAGAGTCATGGGGAGAAGCAGTAGGAGTTTAAAAGACATTATGCCTGGGAGAAAGAAAACTCAACATAAAAGTGTTTGCTAATATGGCTCTAGTTTTCTCCATGAAATCAATTAAACACGTGAAACAAAAGAGCCTGAGAATTGGCCCACCTGCCTAAAACCAGAATGAGGGGACCAAGTGGAGTTTGGGAAGACAGTCTAAGCTCGACACTGTGGGTGGAGAGAAGCAGAGACACAGATCCCAAATGTTTGTCCTTACCCCTGGGGGCTGGTCTCGGGAGAACATCCCCCAAGTGTGCCACTCCAAGTCTCTCCTGTAGGATGTGTGCTCAGTTTCCCCAAAGCCATAGAGGTACTTGGAGGCAAGGCGGGTGGAGATGCGAATAAACATGTCATTGAAGGTGAAGCCAAGGAGCTGAGAGTCCCAACTGAAACACACAAAAAGGCAGATTTTGAAACAGAAATGGGATTTTCTTTCTGCTTCCAGCAGCTGACTTTTCAAGGACAACAGAACGTTTGATTTTTATCCAGAACCTGTTCATCTCCAAAACAAAACAGAAATTCAACTTGATTAAAATATCATAGATATCCTCGCTAAAAACTCATGAGTTATTCTCCATTCATCTGTTACCCGCTGTCACTGCCTCCCTTTCACTGGTACTCCACAATACAGATTCAAGCACTCTCACCATCACAGCTGGGTGGCTACGCCACACCAGCTCCGCCTTCCACCCTTGCACCCCTCAGTGCATTTTCTACATAGCACTCAAAGTGATGTTTATTTATTATTGGTTGTCATGAGAAGATAACCTCAGCTGTCTACAAGGAGCAGCACCTCCTCTAGACAAGTACACTCCCATAAACATTTGTTGATGAATCTCTCAGTACACTAACTGCTCAGTAATTATTTCCAGAATGCTAAAGATTTCCCATAAGAACAGGTCTGAAGGAAACAACTCATCCATGGATCTGGAAGTGGACAATGTGATGTTTGGAACCAGGATACATTCAAGGACAATGGACCTGGCAGCAAAGGCACAGGTAGACATCAACTCTCAGTCACACTAGAAGCCACTCACATTATACTGCCTGTACTCTTGCGGCGAATTTCAATCCCAAATGGATTCTTCTTAATGAGGACATCACACCTCAGGGTGCTGGATGGCACCCTGGGTATGTTCAGAGGAACTGGAACTTCATACCCATTGTTGTTGATCATAAATCTAGCCACAGAGGAAATCGATTTTAGGCAAGAACAGTATTCTTGAAACCTATACCCTTAGCTGAATCTTTTTTATTTTTGGACAAAAAGTTCAGATGCTATGTTTCTATCTTCTTTAAGTTTATGATATCTCAGATTTAATTAATATATCAAATAACAATATAGGATTTAACATTTTTTCTGTCATTTCTCATTATTCAGGCCTCTGTTACATTAATATACTCAATGGGACATTGGTGCTGACTTGGAAAGTCATTCTGGAATCAGTGTAGTATTTATGAATATGTTACTTGTTATTTTATGTGGGTATATGAGTATATATAAATACCTTAAAACCATTATGACTTGAAAAACAAACCTATCTCCCCAAAATGAAATCAATTTAATTAAAATAATCTGAATGTCCTTGCTGAAGGTGGTATCTAAACTGATTCATGAGTACCTAAGACATCCCTGCCTACAAAAGACACTAGGGATGTGAGCTGTATAAGGCAGTGTTATGGTTTTACAAAATTCACATGCTAATGATTAGTGAGAGAGAGCAGCTCACAACACTTGGGTGACGTGCTAAGTGGACAGCTATGTAGAAGTGCTGTGAGATTCTAGAGAAGGAAATGCCTAACATTGTTTCTGGGAGACTGAGATGGTGTCATGGGAGAAACACATGATGACTCTTAAAAGCTTGGTAGTTATTAACCAAACAAACAAGGGAGATCAAGTCATTCTGCTGAAGAATAATAACTGCACAGGTAGAGAGTACTAAAGGGTCAAGAGGCAAATATTTTGGAAAGAGCTACTCTATGGTCAAGAGGTAGACTAGGCAATTGCTGAGGCTAGAACTCCAAGGAAGTTCATTCACTTCAAACTCATTGGGTGCTATAACATGCTAGGGTCAAGATGTATAAACATACATCAGCATCATCCCTGCATTATAGGATGTACAAAAACTGAGAATTCGGGTTGATGTCAGATTATAAACAACCTTTTAGGCAATGCGACAACATCCTCATCACTTTCACTTACTGTGTCAATAACATTACAGCGCTAACCATGTGCCAGGTTCTGAATTAGACTTTAGAAACACAGCAGGAAAAGGGCATATTCCTGCCCTTGAGAAGCTTAGTTTAATAGAGAACTAGACATAACAGCTAGTCCATCCCTAGCCCTTTCTTAAATGCACTAAATCTTGGAAAGAATGAACATCTTGATGCCTATTTTACAGAAATCTCAAATTCAGTATCCCAAAATGAACATATCATCTGATATTTATCAAGCACAAACATTTTCATTATTCCTATTCCAGTTAATGTCAGCACCATCCATATTAAGACGTAGGATAGAAACACGTACCTTCATTCTTGATTTTCCTTCATTGTCACTCCTCTTGCAATCGAGCACTATATCCTGTAACCCAACTTTCAACCTCAGACAGGTCCACTCCTTCCCCACCTGCATTCCAGTGTCTAGTCCAAATCTAATCCCTCAACTGACCTGCCTAACTGGTAGCCTCCCAACTTGTCTCTCCGTACTCGCTCTTTCTCTCCCAACCATTTTCCTAACAGCAGTCACAGTAATCTTTTCCAAATGAAAATCAGGGCAGGTCTCATTGTTCCCTCAATGATTTCTCAAAGCTCTCTGGATAATGATCATCTTTGTCACATGATTAACTTATTTTAGGGTTCTGTGACCTGGACCAATAAAAGGTAATGGAACTGAAAAGGGTCTAATCACTACCTGATACATGTACTGTGTTTACCTTGAACTGCAGCATTTATTCTATGGTAAGTGACATCCAGGCGAAGGGGGTTCTACGGTGTGGAGGGGAAGGCACTGCATACACGAAGACTTTAAGGAGATGTCAGCTGTGGCCCCATGTGAATTATTATAATGAACATTGACAGAGTATAGATCAAGCAAGGACAAAATAGCAAACAGGGACCTCAGAAGAACTTGACACTGAAAAGTAAGGGTAAGGTCATAGATCAGCACAGCATGTGGTCTTAAAGTTCTCTAACCTAAACAGGGGTAGAAACATCATTTCATACGACAATAAAACCAGCCCATCACTGATCACTTGGCAATAACATAAATTTCAATTCCTGGTCTCCAAGCAAAATATTCATTTTAAAAAGTTTCACACATGTCCCCACCTACTCATCACATCCAGATCATGTCCCTTAGGAAGTCCTTTCTATGGATTTTTAAGTAGTTATGTAAGTATCACTGCTATGCCTAAGAAACTATACAAGGACAAAGCATGGAAATTTCCATGCACGTGAACCCCATCAGCATGGTTACTCTCCCAGATACAGCTACTGGCAGTGCAGTTTTTCTGCAGAAGCGCCATTCTCATCAGGGTAACAGTCTATTTTTTCATCATCCCTTATCTTTATGCTCCACTCCACTGTGTAGGCTTCTCCCAGGAGAAGATTGATGTCTGTGATAATGGCAACCTGTAGGAATGCAGAAATCACAAGGAAATTCATCTTTAGGAGATAGGCCTTGCAAGATTTGAGGCTTTTTTTTTTTTTTTTTTTTAGGAAAGAAAATAGAAATATGACCAGACATTCAACCATCCAATGAACATATGACTTTAGCTTATAAGAAGAGAACCGCACATTGGGGGATTCTAATTAGCAGCAACAGGGCAAATGTTCTCTCTAGCAGAAGCTTGTACATAGAATAAAGAAAACAACTAGTCAAAGAAAACCCATCATGATCACTCCCTATTCTTTTCTGCTCTGACTCCTTTTCTTAGTTCTCTGTGTCTTGTCAGGCAGGCTCCTCTTCGCGCTCCTCTTTAGCATGACACATGGTGTCACCCAAAGTGAGCTGATCCCCTTGCTCTCCAGTCCCCAAACCAGTAACCCCCATTGGCGTGGAGTGGTAGAAAGAACACAGCATTAAGAATCATATGATCTCGTTATCATATCCACATTTTCATAGAACATTGAACAAATGATTTCTTTCTTTAATTTTTAATTTTAATGGGTACATAGTAGGTATACATATTTATGGGTTATATGAAATATGTTGATTCAGGCATACAATACATAATAATCACATAAGGGTAAGTCAGGTATTCTGTTTCATTTATTTGGGTTTCAATCTTAGCAACGGTAAAATTGGAGGCTGAAAAATCATGTATTTCTTTCCATTTCTAACACCCCAGCCTCTTCGCTTATGTAACCCCCAAAGACTCCAATTTTGAAACCTTCCTTGATTACCATTCATTCAAATAGTTAATATTTTTCTATATACTTTTCTTATCTTTGACATTTCTTTAAACAGCACTTCCCAAGTTCTCACTTGTCTAGAATAATAAAATCCCATTCTAAAATTTTCATCCTTCTCCCAGTCTCCTCCCAGTCTAAACCATCTTGTACTTCCATGTTCTACTAGTCCCCAAAACCCACTCCCACTCCAAGCAATGCTCACACACAGTAGCACAGCCTTCATTCAAGGATCAACGAGGCCCTTTGACAATTAAACTGGGCTGGTACCTAAGACCCTCCAAAATCTGACCACAAGTTTCTATGCAAACTGGCCTCTTTTTCAAACCTAATCTGTCTATGCTGTTCCAGTCATATAATTTTCACAGTTCAATCATGTAAGGCTGTTCCCACTTTCCTAACTTTGCTCTTTCTTGTGCCCCTTATTGTAATTATAATTCTATTTGAGGGAAAAGGAAGTGAAATCAGTTAGAGAGAGAAGAACATTGAGAGGCAGAGAAGAGAATAAGAAGGTAAACACCCAACTCATTCTAGCTCTTGCCACCTCATTTTATTCCCAGTCCTCTAACTTCCCCAAAACAGGCCTCATGGTTGCTCTGTTCCTTCAGGAGCCCATGCAACTTTTGGCAAAAGGAACACCATGATACTATGGAGAATTCTCAATACACCATCTCAACAAAATGGGGTTTTACCTTCAGGTTAGAATCGTAAGTGACTGTAGGAGAAGTCTGACTTGGGACACCATTGTGTTTCACTGTAACATTGCTAGGTTCCTCCGTCCCAAGAATTTTAATTCACAATGCTAAATTATTGGGTCCTTGTAGGTTGATTAGGAACATTCACCTCTGCGGTTCTGGCAAAACAAGTAAGTCCAATTATGCATAAAGGTATGCCTGCAATACACAGATTGTAAAGTCACTCAACATTCCATTCCAGACCAGATACCCCCACTGCCCTGGATGCCCCTCTGCTTTCTCTACTAGTGTGTTTCAAGAAATGCAAGATTATTTTGATAATCCTCTAATTTAAAACAATCATAAAAACACACAGATATTTTTACAATGTATTTACAAATGCTATTTGCTATGCCTAATGCCTTCTTTTGAAAACTCTGACGAAATCATAAATAGAAATGTGCTCACCTATAACCAATAATGCATAGAAAGTTACAAATATAATCACACATATATTAATATACACAAGCACAGATGTGCTAATGGTCAGTCCAAAGCCCACACCTAAGATTCTAGAAAATATGCTACTCACTTGAGTGACAGAAAACTCACATAAAAGATACACTTTATTGGCCACAGTATCTGCAAGTGAGAGAAAGTCAAGCTGATTCTGGCTTGCCCACCACAGAAAAACAGATTTCACACCCCCACTCTTCACAGTTACATCCTGATGTCACAAATGGCAGTATTTCCGTTTCCTTATGGATGAACAATATTCCATTGTATTCATTCATCAGTGTACACTTAGAATGTTTCCATATCTTGGCTGTTGCAAATAATGCTGTAATGAATATAGGAGGAGTGAGTATATTCCTTAAAGATACTGGTTTCCTGTACTCTGGATACACACCCAGAAGCGGGATTTCATGGATTGCAGGGAAGATCTGTTTTTAATTTTTGAGGAACCTCCATACTATTTTGCATAACAGCTAGTACAATTTACATTCCCACCAACAGTCTAAAAGATTCCATTTTCTCCACACCCTCACCGGCACTTATCTCTTACCTTTTTTACGATTTCCATGCTAACAGGTGTGAGGGGATAGCTCACTGTGATTTCTTTGATTTGCAATTTCTGGGCTTCCTGGATGTTGAGCATCTTTCACACATACCAGTTAGCCACTTGTATGTCTTCCTTGGAAAAACATCTGCTCAGGTCCTTCACCCAGTTTGCACTGGGTCATTGGATCTTTTGCAGTTGTATGAGTTCCATATTTTTTGTATTAATCTCTTCTGAGATATATGGTTTGCAAAGACTTTTATACGTTCTGTAGTTTGCCTTTTCACATTGTTGATTGTTTCTTTTGCTGTGCAGGAGCCTTTTAGTTTGATGTAGTCATGCTTGTTGCCTTTTTGGCATTTTGCCTTTGCTTTTGGTATCATATCCAAAAAGTCACTGCCAAGACTACGTCAAGGAGGTTTTTTCTGTTTTCTTCTAGGAGCTTTACAATATTTAGCCCTTACATTTAAGTTTTTAATTTCTTTCCTCACAGTAGCCAAGATAAGAAAACAACCTAAGTGTCTATCGGTGGAGGAATAGATAAACATATTTTGGGACATATATACAGTAGAATATTTTTCAGACATAAAAAGTAGAACATTCTGCCATTTGCAACACCATGAATGACTCTGGAGGACATTATACCAAGTGAAATAAGCCAGAGACAGAAAGTCAGCCTCACTGCATGGTCTCACTCTATGTGAATCTAAAAAAGTCTACTTCTTAGAAGCAGAGCCTACAAATAGTTGTTCTCAGAGCCTGCGGTCATGGAAAATGGGAAGATGATGGTCAAGGGCATGCTGCTCAGTTAGTAGATGAATAAGTTCTGGGGATCCAGTCTGCAGCATTGGTGGTGATGGATGTGTTCATTAAAATAACTGTGGTAATCACTATACTATGCCTACGTATATTAAATCCTCACATTGTCCACCTTAAATATATTCAGTCTTTATTTGCCAACTAAATATTTTACAATCCAAATAATAAATAAATTTGAATCTACATATTGGATTAGATGGGCAAGCATCTCCAAGGCCAACCCATTGTTTTTCCTTCTCTTCCTATTGAACATTAAAAGATTCCTCTGAGGGCTTTTCAAGGCATATGCTTCAAGAATCTATTTCTCAAACTTGGAAGCACAAGAATTGTTTGTATACTGAGCCACAAAGGTTAAAAATGTATGGCTAGATGAGTACACCCTGGAACAGTGTATTCTCACTACCTCACTGGCAGGGGCATGATTTTTATATCGTCAACGTTTGCTCATAAGAATTTTGGGAGGAAGACATTACTGAATTAGGGAACAATCTTGAAATCTTTTCATCTAAGCACCCATTGACAATAAAATGAGAGCCTCATTATAGATATCACTACAATGGGAGAATTGTCAGAGATACAAATGTATTTTTCTTTCGTCTGCAGTTCATCTACTACTATCCCTGAATGGTGCGACCAGAAACAAAATACTTCAGTGACTCTTGCTGCTGTGCCTGCTGAGATTTCTCCCCACAGCTCAAATGACCAGCAGGAGGGAAGGACCATGCCGAGGTGCGGGTTTGGAACAGCAACATGATCGTAATAGCCACCTCGCTTGCCCATCATCCCAGAAAAGTTCTTTTGCTTCTTTTTGTTCTCATCTAGGGCAATGATAAGACCAAGAGGGTTCTTTCGACTGTGGGGAACAAGATTCAAGAGACAAAGACAGGAGTCAGAGAATTTTGTCAACGGAGTTGAGAATATTTCCATCAGATTTCAAACTGCAAGACACTAGCAGCAGATGGTTTCAGAAAATGAGAAGTATCCCAAGAGGAGACTCTGGTATTAAAAAATTGTAACAGTTCTGGCCAAATCTAATGAGGCTCTGATCACCTGGCTGTTACCATGTTTTGAAAAGCAATTCAAAGGCTTTAAGGAAGGACATGAACTACAGTCTTTCAAAATCCATTGGATACAGTTCTAAAACAGCAGCTTCTGCAAAGCTGTTGTGAATCGTGGTTGCTCCTATTTTGACTTCCATCTCAGATGTGAGATTAAAATGTCATTCTAGAATCAACAATTCTACCTCCCTTAGACTTCAAAGAGTTATTAATAATTAGTCAGAGTAGAGAGTCTGAAAAAGATTAACACACAAACAAGCAAACAAAGAACAACAAGTGTTGAGTAAAATTGCATGCGTGGCTTGAGAGTGATACGCTTTGGTGGACTTCATTACAGACTGTTGAGCTAACTGACATGTAAAGGAAAACCTGAGTCCTGTCATTCACCTTAAGTGGGTGTTCAGTGCAGGCTCTTGCCAGGGCAGGATGTAGCCCCCACGGACATGAAGATTAATGTGGCCAAGAGGCCGGGTGTCTTCCACCTCTCATGCTCACATCCACACCTGTGGGCAGAAGAAGGTAAGAGATGATGAAGGAGAGGAAAGGATCCTGCCTGAACAACGCATCCTGCCAGACATCTCATCCTTCCCTCTGAACTTATGCCTGCTCATCACCCTTCACCACTTACCTGCCATTACTCCAGCTCCGCATTCACCCAGTGCTGCATGAAATCTCACAAGGCTACTATCATATTCTTTGTTAGGTCTATGCTCTCTTGCTTCCACCGCACAAACTACACTTTCCTGATGTGTGACAGAAAGAGGCTACTCTCTCACCTGAATCCACAACAGAAACCTAACCTAAGGGACCATCCTTCCATCCTACATGTTGTCAACTAGAGCAGGGCTTTTCAGTCTCAGCACCATTGAGATTTTGGGGCCAGACACTTCTCTGGCATGGGGCTATCTGTGCCTTTTGATATTCAGTAGAATCCTCAGATGTCAGCAGCATCGTCTCCTCACCCCCACCCTCTTATGCCAACAAAATATCTCCAGGCACTGCCACAAGCAAATGTCCCCTGGGAGGCAAAATCTTCTCATTTGAGAGCTACTACTTTACAGATAAGAAGCTGTTACTGTTGAGAACTAGCGAATATGTACCGCTGTTCCAATAAAACTTTATATGCAAATCAGCTAACAAACTGTGATTTTTTTGTAGGCCGTAGTTTGCCAGGCTGTGCTCTAGATCGACTAATAGTACCCAAACTTGGGAAGGTGACACTTCTTCATTAATCCTAACTATGAGATTCATCTTCATGTTTTAATTAAACATCAAAAATTTCATCTCTCTCTTTTTTCTTTTTCTTGAGACAAAGGCTCGTTCCATCGCCCAGGCTGGAGTTCAGTGGCACAATCTCAGCTCACTGCAACCTCCGCCTCCCAGGTTCAAATGATTGTCCTGCCTCAGCCTCCCGAGTAGCTGGGACTACAGGCGATCTCCACTACACCAGCTATTTTTTTTGTATTTTTAGTAAAGACAGGGTTTCACCATCTTAGCTAGGATGGTCTTGCTCTGACCTTGTGAATTGCCCACCTGGCCTCCCAAAGTGCTGGGATTACAAGGTCACAGCGCCTGACCCAACTTCATCTTTTTCTAAACAGTTTGTTCCATCGATTTCTTTTGTCTTTTCCCTCTTCATCAAAGACATTCTGTTACTGAATGTGAGACTCCAACGCGGCAAAATCAGGACAAACGCCAGTCTCAGTTAAAGAAAGCTGGCCACTTCTTCCTAGGACCTGGCTGGTGCCACATAGCAGAGCTCAACATGTCACTTCACCCTTAGGCAGATCCAGACTAGCAACAGGAAGGGGAGCCTGGGGCAGTGGAGGGGACTTGAGCCCCAACAGACTGAGAAGAGAAGGAACAAAATTGTACATCCTTCTCCAGTTTTCACCTAATCTCACTGCAACCCCTTGGATGAAAGGGGCCAGCACATGCTCTGTCTTTGTTTCTGCTTGTTACCTCTTGCTGTATTGCCAGCCCTCAACTATGCCTCCTCAGAAAGTCAGAAGTAGAAGCCTGCTAGAAACGAAGGAAATACCTCCTTTGATTTTTCCCCAAGAATCAGGGTCTGACTTCTCAGGGTCCAAGCAAGAGACCACCACCCCAGAGCTGCCCTGGAAGACCCTGACTTCCAGCCGAGTCTTTGGGAATCATAATAGAATGAAACTATGCAGCAAGGAGCTCTTCATTGCTGCCTCATTTCTAAATGTACTTACACTGCTTAGACTCACAAGGGTTGGGTGCCACACCTCTGTGTGTGTTTTGCACATTGTCTAATCACTTGTGGGCCTTAGGTAATTATGTGCATCACCCTCTTCTTGAGCATTTATGCGATGGAAGGCGATATTTAATAAAAAGAGACAAAACGGCCTCTATGCTTACAAACTTACAGGAGGCAAAGATATCAACATTAAAAACAAAAAACTAATGCTGCAACACAATCTCAAATGTTATTAGCATCTGCCTTACACAACATGGTAAATAGCAGTGATAGGAAATATTAAAACTAACAGAAGATAACAAATTCCACAAAATCCAGACCTCAGTGAGATGCTTTGCGGTTAGTTCACAAGGGTTCTGTGAGTGAAGTCGTCTTACTCCACTTGGAGGTGAGAAAACTGAGATTACAAGGGTTAAAGTGGCTTCTCTAACACCACACAGCAGGTGGTTGATGAGTCAGCATTTGACATAAGGTCCATCAGATGTAAAGCCTTGTTCTCTCTAACTCATATTCCCATGTTGCATAAACATTCAGAAAAACTTACCGTGTAGTAAATTGTAAATTGCTGGCTCTAGGAAATATGCAGTGACATTTCTGGCATTCTAAAACAAAACAAAAACAAGGTGAGCTGGGGCACCCATATTCCAGGACAGAGAATCAAACTGTCAGGAAAGACGCGTGTGAAACAATTGTGACGGCTTTGGACCCATCTGCCTCACGCCTGGAGAGAGGTTAGCGACAGGGGCAACCTTCTTCCCATTTTCTTTTTTAAATGGAAGATTTGTCTACCCAAAACAAGTAGCTTCATAAAGCACTTTGGTCTCCAGGACTTCGGTAAAAAATAAATCACTATTTGCTTATAAACATAGACTTACCCCATTTCCTCTTAAAGAGACAAACAACAGGTTGTGTTTGGGCAGAAGAAAATTTTGTGGGTACAGTAAGATTTTGGGTCCAGGAGCAGTGGCTCACACGTGAAATACCAGCTCTTTGGGAGTGCGTGGGTGGCGGATTACGAGGTCAGGATATCGATGGTTAACATAGTGAACCCTGTCTCTTTAATAATACAAAAAAATTAGCCAGGGCATGGGGCACATGCCTGTAGTCCCAGCTACTCGAGAGGCTAAGGCAAGAGAATCAATACCAGAACCTGGGTGACAAAATTACACTGAGCCAAGATCACTGCACTCCAGCCTGGGCAACAAAGTGAGACTCTGTCTCAAAAAAAAAAAATCTGGGGGAAGTACAATTAACTGGTATTTTAATCAGAAGCCTAATCAACAATAGAAGTAAAGAAACGGCTTTTACTGCTGGGAGGTAATCCTGCACAGGAAGGGAAGGGGTAGCCAGCAGCAATACAAGTACACACATTGCTGGCAATCCTTCTGAAGAGTTGTAATAGTGCTAGAGGACTTTATAAATTCTTACAATACTGCCCCCATCTGACCATCTATTCCTTATTTTAGTTAACGAAGAAATGATTGTGTCATTGAATATACCATGAGGTGTTTTCTTCTTGATCATCCTATGAAGCAGAATTGTAAGGCTCATTTCAAAGATGAAGGAGCTGAGGCCCAGAACACCTAAGTGATGGACTTCAGCCTGTGAAGGAGAGGAAGAGACAGGAGAATAAGAAACCATGTCTTACTGACCCCACCAGCTCAGGCCTCTCCCCGACCTTTCCCCAAGCCTCACAGCTGGGATCCTCCCCCCATCGGAGGCCTCCATACTCACGCGCTCCAGGACAGGGCTGACCAGGAAGGCTGGGCCCAGCAGGAACTGACTGTCTATGTCCCATGTCACCTGGTCTGACACAAACCTGGAAAGGGAAATGAAGGTGACCAACAGAGCCCAACAGAGCCCCAGCCTGAGACTCTGAAGAAGCTCCTCAAGTTCAGATCCAGTTGGAAATCCAGTTGCCCCCTGAGCCATCCTTGTCTTATCCCTAGCTCAGCTTCATCAGGAGCACCAGCCTCTTTTCCCCAAGGATATGTCTTTCCAAACTTCAGAAATGCTGGGATGTAGATGTTCTCTTGTAACTACTACCTCATTTCTCTAACCATGGCACATTTTAAATAAGGATGGCGCTCCTCCCCAAATCTCTTTGCTGAAATCCTTCTTTTGTGACTTGGGTCCATATAACCAAACTGCTATAAAAGATAGATAGGTCTTTGCACAGCCAAATGAGAATGAAACTATTCTATGCTGTATGGCATCATTTCAATTTCTGTACATTCATTAAAATGGCCTTTTTTTTCATGACCTATGGTACGTATAACACTGTGCTAAAGAGAGTACAGTATGGTCTGCACCCCAGAGTTCATGTCAAAAGGCAAACATGTCTTTCATTTGGAAGAATTGTGTATATCAACTCCCTCCATATACAATGCAATAAGTCTTCATTAGTCATCAGGATCCCTGCTGACACTCACTGATGAAGCAGAGGCCGCGACAACAGTGACGCCCCGTGGGCCTTATACATCAAGGTATACAGATATGGCAACAGGGTGTATCTGGTCTGCAGGACATTTCTGGAAATGTTCACAAAAGCAGCATCCTGTGACACAGGGTCTTGTCTCTAAAAGAAAGAGAACAGTATTGGGAGCACGCCCTGGAAGTTCTAGGGATTTAAGAAGGTCACTGAAGGCATATTCCAACTGGAAGATCACTACAGCTAAACAAAAGAAAACTATACATGAGGCCCGGGGAATATTCTTAATAGACTGGAAAGAATCATGGAAGCTCTTTAGACAGCTGATAAAATCTCACTGTAAGACATTCTTTGGTACAATTTTGCCTAAAAATACAGGAAAAAAATAAATTGAAGAACACTGAGGGATATGGTTCATTGAGACACCAGGCTGTAACAATTTTAAGGGTGCACTGGGTCATGCCTATATTCCCAACACTTTCGGAGGCTGAGTCGAGTGGATCACTTGAGCCCAGGAGTCAGACACTAGCTTGGGAATATGGCAAGATCCCACCTCTACAAAAAAATGCAAAAATTAGGTGGGTACGTTGGTATGTGCCTGTAGTCCCAGCTACTCAAAATGGCTGAGGTGGGACAATCGGCGAGACCCAGAGGCGAGGCTGCAGGAACAGCCATGACTGGGACATGGCACGATTCAGTCTGGACAAAGAGGCATCATCCCCACCCACCCAAAAACAAAAACAATTTTTAAAAAATATCCCAAGAAATACAAACTGCGTTAATTTTAGCTCAGAAATGGAGATTGTATTTCTAGTGACACACAACACTGGAGGCAGAAGCCACTGTCCTACCCTGGTCCCAATGGTGTTGTGGTTTCTTGAGAAGGGGTAAAAGGCCCCCAGCTGCATCCAGCGAACACACATCTCATATTCAGCATCTTGAAAGAACCCACAGATATCTGCTCCTGTCTGAAACAAGAGGAAATAAAACAAGCCTGCTGATGATTTCTGAAAGATGTCCCCACCTTCTGGTGCTTAGAGGATCCCATGACACTCACATAGGATATGCCGAAGAGGCTGAACTCCATCATGCCTGCAATGAGAAGCACAGCAGTGTCACACCAGGCCTCACCACCCGCTCCCTCACCTCTTCTTCCCCCTGCCGATCCCAACTCTGCCCTACCAGCACAGGCCCTGGGAAGGAGCCACGCACCAATGATAGATTTCTTCAGCTGATCCCACGCGGCCGCAAGGTCTCCCAGCCAATGTCCTGCCCAGCTGCCAGAAGAGGGAAATGTGGAGCGAAGGATGACCACCTCTCGCTGCAAACCTGGCCACCTCCTGCATGGCTCTGTTGGAGGGGCAACAGGAGGTGAACTGAGGGCATGGCCAGTGAGCAAAGGCCACAGAGCTTCTGCTCCCAGAGCCCTTGAGCCTAGTTAATGTTTGCTGCGTGATTGAGGGAATATGGAATCTGAGCTGCAATGGGGGCCCCACTGATCCCAGATAATGGAGATAACGAGTCACGTGTTCTCACAGTGTTTTACAAAGAACTTCACTGTAGCAAAACTCACTGAGTGACCAAAATAGTAAAGGTTTACTAAAACTTGCTGCTGGTTTCCTCAATACGTAGTTTTCTATATTTGAGGAGGAACACAGTGAAGATCATAAGACTGTCCTTAGAAGAATTCATATCATTCAAGAGCTTGCAAAAGGGACTGTGTTAATTTTGTAGAATACCAGTTACCCTCCACCGAGAATGGCTAAAAAAAATCTCAAAATATGATTCACTTTTGAAATAAAGGGGAGAGATGCCCAGTCTCTGTGTTCCCTTCCACCTCCTGTAACTAAAGCACAGTACCGCCGGCTGCCCTGTGTGATCATTATGGTGTCTCCACATGCGTCTTTAACACCAGGATCATTAAGTTTTTCACTGGTGGGACCATGTCTTATTTAAATCTGTCACCCTCCTTTTAATCACAGGGCCTGGCTCCACGTCAATGAGCATTTGTTTAATAAGAATCATTACACGGTTGTCATGAGAATCTTCTTAACCCTTAGAATGGGAATGAAAGAAAACTAGGGTGGCGATGTCAGTCCCTGGCAATCCCTCCTCCAGGTTGAGAGACAGCTGGAGAAGGCAGAGACTCACTCGTATGTGGGTCTGGTCTGGGACCACCCGTACAGGTTGTGCACATTGTAGTGCTGCACCGAGCCGCCTGGGAGGATCTGTTGACTCTCCATGCACAGGGTCTGCTGCTCAGGCTCTGTCCTGACTCCAAATCTGAGGAGGAAGAACTGGTGAGGTGAAATCCAGCCCTGATTCTGTTTATCCCTGACCTCTCCTCAAGGGATTGGACACTGGAACTTAAGACTGACTTGAGTCCTGCCTGGGTCATTCTCCATCTTCCAGAGACATGACCTTCACAGCGACCCTTGGCCTGGAGCTGCTATGGCACCTGCAGTGTTTCCAACATCAAATTCACTGAAGAAAGTGGAGGTGTAAGGAAGAATGTACAGCTGTTGACTACTACATGACAGGCTCCTTTTTAGGCTTCTGACTTGCGAATTATGTCCATAATTCTCTGAAGAAGACATCATTATCTGTCTTTGCAGTTTAGCAAACCAAGATTTGGAAATATCGACACCCCAAAGTCACAAAACTCCTAGAGAGAACAATTTCTGGAGCCAAGATATGAACCCAAGTATAACTCCGAAGTCCATCAGCTCCATCATAAGCGGAAGCCAATAATTCCCACCCATTGATGACAAGAAATTCCTGAGATGGAGTTCACACAAGCTGAAAAACTAAGAAACCTAGCTGTGAGGATCCTTTGTGGCATGAGCACTGCTAAGTAAGCTTTCGGACAAATTTCAGGAAATTTGCTCAATGAATCTGGTCATTTGCACATGCCCATCTGGGTAGCAACTGCAGCGTTGTCTCTGGTCCCAGTAAACCATAGCAGCCATGAGGATGTGCCCTGAGCTGTGCAGGCACAACCCTGGCCTCTGGGCTCCTCCAGTGGCCATCCTTCCAGTCCTAGCTCTGCCAGTCAAGGAGACCAAGGGTTCTTACGCAGCATGTAGGAGGGCGGCTCAGAGAGGCATCCCTGCAGCCTGGAGAAACTGCCCCATTCACGAAGCTTGATGGTTCATTCATATCCTAGAAATGCCAAACACACACATACATCACTTTTTAAGATAATTATGTCCAGCCAATTCTGAGCCAAGGAAGCAGTGGAACAAGCATTGTTCAACATCCAGTAATCCCTGTAGATGCCAGCCCTGGGAACTTCATCAAATCCTGGTGACAACTGGCTGAAAAGATTAATTCACTCCTACAGAATGAATGGCTAGAGGTTTTAAAAAATAAATCTCTTCCCAGGTGGCTGTGAGGCAATCAAATTTTCAAGAAATTCTAGTAAACGTTTCCAGGATTTTTGTGTAGTTTTTTTTTTTTTTTCAATTTTTGAGAGGGAGTTTCACTCCTTGTTTCCAGGCTGGAGTGTAATGGTGCGATCTTGGCTCATGCAACCTCTGCCTAGTATGTTCTAAACGATTCTCCTGCCTCAGCCTCCCAAGTAGCTGGGATTACAGGCATGCCCCACCACACCCGACTAAGCTTTTGTATTTTTAGTAAGAGACGGGGTTTCTCCAAGTTGGCCAGGCTGGTCTCAAACTCCCAACCTCAGGTGATCCGTCCACCTCAGCCTCCCAAAGGACTGGGATTACAGGCGTGAGCCACCACACCTGGTCCGGCCTGAGAGGTTTTACAGTAGGAGCCTTAGGTCCGTGACACGGTCTGAGGGCTATCAGGATGTCCCATTCTGGAGAGGAGGAAGGTCTGATATGTCCACAGGCTTCTTTGGACAATGACTATCCTCCTGACTGAAGGTCAGTGGCACACAAAGATAGACAAGTGCCACAGGTACACACACACACACACACACTTACAATCCACAGGCCATCAAACTCAAACTCCTCTGATTCTGTGGATTGTTGTACAGGTTCTTCTATTTCCCTCTTCCACCACTTGGTGTTGAATTCACGGAAAAGTCTGGGAAGGCCACCAAGCTCGATATAGCTGTAAAATATAAATATAATTTATGTGTTCCACAAATATATAAGACAGCAATCAGACACTTACTGAGAATGCAACTCACACATACAGATACTCTGAAACTGCATGTAGACAGAGATGGCCTGAACAGGCCTTCCAAATAATGTTATTAACTAATTAGTGAAACGTAGAATGAGAAGAGAAATTAGGTGCACTTGTAATACCCTTCCCCAGCATCTGGAAAACATCCAAAAACTGTTCTCTTCATATACACATGGTTGACGACAATCAATGACCTGAACTAGTGTCCTCATGCATTCAATGCCCGACCCTCAACGTCAGTCCTGCCATTTCAAGTACCTCAAAGACAAAGCCAGGAGAGACTGCAGACATGAGATGTGCATGGTAATAGGTTAGAAGAAACACCCAGGAGTCCTCCTATGTCATTCCCACTGAGAGAGGGAGGAAGGCAGATTACATTTCAGGATATTCGATCAGCACGCCTGTGCGTTTTCTACAATTTCGGAATCGCAAGACAACTACAGATGTTGGAGCATAAATTGAGAGGACTTAAAGAGAATGCATCGACTTCCCTTATTTCCTCTTTCCTTCAAATAATAAAAGCAGGTTCTTTTACTTATCTGAAAGACAGATTCAAGATACAACTTTTCATTTACATTGTAGATTTTTGAGAGTAAGAAGTCTGTCTTTATATTCTTCTTGAGTGATATTTATATTGCCCACAATGTTCAACTTAGAACCTGCATAAAATACTCATTGTTTAGTAGTATTTCACATAACTTCGAAGCAGCAAATAAATATCTATACATTTTAATATACTCATGTTGTTTGTTATGGAACATTATGGTCCTTTGTATGTCTCAGTAAATAGCTCTCTATGCTAATCACACCACTGTAAGATGAAGAGCTAAAGAATGCTATGAGGAGGGTGGGGGAGGCAACAGAAAGAGGACTTGGGCTAGGGGAGCTCCAGTTCTTATACACCACAGATAAAAGGCAGGTAGGAATCCAGATGTTCAGATAAGGCAAAAAGAAGGAACACAAGAAAACAGAAACAGATCAGCCTGCATGGATCTGGCTGTCAAGGATGTGAGAAGACAGCGGCTCACACACACAGAATCTTGAGAGAAGTGGGCTTGCCAGGGATGCCTTTTGTGAGGAAATGGAGGCAGAAACTGGTGGGAAACCAATAAAGAGAACTTTTCACCAGAAACTGAGAGCCCAGATCGTGTGGTTAGAAACAATGGGATTGGTGGGGGATGGGAATTACAATAAAGAGAGTATCAGCCACATCTGAGTCAGAATTGATCCCATACAGTGGCCACATGTATCCAGCCAGCCATGACGTAGGAACTTCCCTAAGTACTGCTCGGACGACCCCTTTCAACTTCATAAAAATGCTCTGCCGTTCTCCAAGGTGCTGGCTTTGCCTGCCCATATTCAAGTCTGCCTTGTGGCTGCCACTTCTCCAGTCTTCAAACAGTGATGTACCCACCCACGCAGCGGGCCTCAGGATCACCTAGCAGTCTTTTTGTAGCACATCACATACTACAGATCGCAATTCATAGATCCCATCAGAGACTTATTGAATTAAATTACTGGAGCTTTGGACTCAGAAATCTGTTTTTCATAGGCTTCTTGGCTGTTTTCTGCTCAGCTTAAGCCAGGCCTAGACATCAGTGGCTTCCATCCTCACCAGCCTCAAGTCAAGTGGGTCTCACTTTTAATAATAAGGAATATTAGATTGGTGCAAAGGTAATTGTGGTTTTGGAATTAAAATTAATGGCAAATATTACCTGTGAACCAACCTAACAGTTACAATTATCCTTCTATCAATAATCTCATGAGCTACCTAAAAGATTACATGAACTTCTCTAATGAGTGTTTCTTATCAGAAACCCAACTGGCATTTGAGGCATAAGATTTGTGGCGAATTTCCCTGTAATCAGAGCTATTGGCATCCCTGCCTACTGCCCATTAAATGCCACCCGGTGTTCTCAGATAACCAACACTGCCCTCAGATTTCCAAATGGCCTCAAGGTGGCAGTGTTGCTCCTACTGGCTGCTGAACTGTGGGGCTCATAATGTAGTACCTGGACTACTTGATACAGAAGTCATGAGGCCAATGACCCAGAAATTCTCTGGCTGGGCAGGTTCCTGTGTCCATGTGAGCTGCCTGGACCCCTAAGCCTCAAGTTATTCACTGTAGGAAGTGACGAGAGGACAGGAAGCTACGTCTTCTCCTTTGAATACTTCTCTGATAGATGATAGATAGATAGACAGATATAGAGTGGATATCGTGAGGAAATGGATAGATACAATAGATAAATAGATAGATAGATAGATAGATAGATAGACAGACAGACAGACAGATATACATAGATAGATACTTGTTCAGTACTAGATAGTGGAGAAACAGCCTTGAACTGAGTCTGACTCATTCTTGTCAATCTTCAAAACCTGCCCCAGTTCTGTTTTGTTTGCATTGTTTTACTCAATTTACCGACAGAAAATAAAGACATGGAGTCCAATACCCAAGCAACCTGGTCTCAAGCGTGTCTCATTTTAAATTGAAAAGAACAACTGCTGCCAACTGGCTCTGGGATCCAGGAAGTCAGAGACTGACAACAGAGAAGTAGGCATCACAGGTTTGCAGTACCTCTGCCTCACTACCCTGTTGGAGCTGTCCGAGGTCCCAGCCTGAGGCTCCAGATTTTGGGGTTGTATCTAATATATGTCTTTCCCTCTAGGACTCACCACTTGCCCTGGAAAACCAGCTATCTGGATAAGGCATGAATATTTGGCTCAACTCTTGCCAGTTACGTTCCTGGTGATGAGTGTTTCTCCTGCACCTCTCCTTGGGCTACAATCTTTCATCATGGAAAGAACCCCCAAAGAAGTCTTCGCCTGGGCTTCTGATCACAAGCAACTGAATTTACAACTGCTGGGATTTGTTCCCACAATATGGATATTTCTCTGATTAAAACTTGATCCTGAGAGAGTATCTAGACTCCACAACATATACCACATTGCTGACTGCACAGGACAGTTCCTTTGTCCCTTTAATTCCTGGCAGATGTGCTAGAAAAGAGGCCTTTTCCTTGTCTCCTCAGCTCTCCTGTGGGGTCACAGGCTACACATGCCCTGCTACAATTCCTACCCAGAAAGAATAACCATTATTGAAGAACAGCTCAAGAGGTAGGGCAAGGTACTTGCCCAGGAAATCCTCGGCCCCACCCCTGACAACCCTGTCTGTGGGAACTGTCACAAAAATTGATAGTAAAGCTCAAAGGCTGCCTCAGTTCAGGAGACACACATCTTGGCCAGAGGATGGGGCTGTAGGCTTCCTAGCCCTGTAAGGAGCCATGTATTCATTCAAGCAAGAAATACTTAGTGAATCTGGACAAAAATTCAGGTTCAGAAGCCTGGGCTACCGGGATCCATTATAAGCAACAAACCGTCCACAGGAGAGAGCAGGTTTTATAATAACGTTGGAAACTGAGAGGTAAAAGCAAAGGTGAGAAATGCAAGGAAGGATTGGGCTCAGAGGAGGACTTATAAGTGTGGTAGATGAAGAACCTGGTTCATTGGGAAAAAAAAAGAAAGATATACAAAGAAAAGACTCCATCAGTCTTCCAGGATTGAAGACTGTTAGAAAGGGAAAACCATGGCAACAACGGTAAGTATGCCAGTCCAGGGAGAAGATAGCACTTCCAGGAGGTATCACCCAGTGGAAATTTCTGGCCTTTGGAATCTGATAGCCTTGGAATTGAAATCACCACTTTGTCATGTAAAACTGCGGAAAAGTAATTTTAAGCCTTCTGGGCTTGAATCCCAAGGATAATAATACATATCTACATCCCAGTGGACAGTAAAGTATTACTCCATATAAGGTAATGGGCACAGACTGATACCTAAGACACATGACCTAAGTGTTTATCTCTGTCATGTCCTTGTCCACGGTACAGGCATGTCCAGAATCCCAGGAACGACTGCCCCTGCCTAGAAACACTGACTGCACCCCAAATTGACAAAGACCTCTTTACCTCCACTGGCTGTCCCAGTCTAGAGATTCATTCACAAATAACACCAGGAAATGGGCCAGACCTATGGAGAGAAACACGCCTAGTAGCGATGCACAAGACAGTTTCTTACATAGATTTAAGAAATTGTTGTATAAACCATGTCCTAGGAGCAACACTTGATTATCATGTAGGATTCATGGAAAAGTGAATTCCATAACATATTACATTACTTTAAAACTCATTAATTGTATCAACAAATATTGTTTGAGAAAAGGAGAGCTTCAGACCTTGGGCCAAATAGAAAATCACAAAAATAATATACACAGGGCGCAGGTGACTCCTCATCCGTGACCCACCCGCAGGCTAGGGACTAGTGGATCATCCCTTGATTTTCTACCTTTCCCAGACAATGTCTCCATCATTTGGGTATTTGATGAAGATGTCATCCTCCAAGCCCCGAGTGAAGGCAGGATAGGGCTGGGTCTCATTGCCAGAAATGGCTGGATCCTGAAATCAAAGCATAAGTCAGCTGGGAAAACCAAAGTCAGAGAATATGAGAAACGTAATAAAGGAAAAAACTCTTCCAGGGTGAACTGGTTTCTACCTGAACTGTAGACTTTCTGTGAGTCCTGGGAAATACAGAATTCTTACTGCACTTATATTTATCTACTTGCAACATGGAAATAAAGTATAACTCTTTCTCTACCAAAGCCCATACATGCTCCCAAACAGACCACACACATTCACATCAGGACTAACCAGAATGAGGATGACCCGCATCCCATCAGCCTTCATGCGGTTGATCAGGAGTTGGAAACCCACAGCAAACTTGGGGCTGAGGTGAAGTCCAGCTGCCGCCCATGTAGTCGATGTCTGAGTACTGCACGTCCTATGGAGGACACGGGAGCTGAGTGGCTGCTGCTGTACACGCTCAAGATTTACAGGAGAACAACCCTCCACTACACATGGTGGAATTCTTGTGACAGCTTCTTGTTGATGCTTTCAAATCCCAGCTCTGCCATTTGTTAGGTACAGGTGCTGGGAAATTCACTTAATTTTTACAATGTTCAGTGATAAGATAGAAAAAAATCGAAGTCAGCATAAGATAGGATGAGAATGTGTCTCTAGCATGGCTATTCTGAGGATAAGAAAAGACACTGGTTTGGAAAGTGCTTTGTAAATTGCCCATATCAGGTGTGATTGTGATGACCTCCCTACAAGAGACTGCCCTGGTATCAGTGGTCTACTTTGAGGAAAAATACTATTAATTATCGACAGGTAATGGCAAATCTACTACAAAACAAAGTAAAGATGTATAGTTATTGGAATATAGAATCTTGAGGGTAATCATACACAACATTCTTCCTGAGACTGTAATAATGCATTTCTTACAATCCACTAATGGAAACACCATGTTCCATCAATGGAACAATTGTAAATAAATAGAAAAGTGGGATAAAATTAAATGTGGGATGGTTCATGGGATCATTTCTCTGATGATTGGGTCCCCTCCCATCCTCCATTGAAGGATAAGGTTTATTTCCATTTGTATGTCCTCAGGAAACCCATCCCAGGATTTGTGTAATCCATCGCTATTAGCCCAGAGCTGATGCAGGAACTGAGATTGTATTCACAAGGTTGTCTGACTGGTTTGTGGTTAGTCTTTCAAGTGATTACAAAAGAACTGTAGGATATTATTCCGACTCATGAAACCAAAGACATTTTTGACTAAACAATGAAGTCTGCAGAAACGAAGAAACATGCACAGAAAGAGCCCTGAGCCAGCCTATCTCCTCTGGGAAATCACAGAGTCTTAGATATTATCTCTAGAAGATGGAAACAAGCACCCTTAACTACATTACTGTGCTGGGGTGAGGCTGTGATATTGCCCGAAAAAAGAACATTATGTCTTTATAGAATCCCACAAACATTAGACAAATGAACCCAGACACAGAGGCACCTGGGTTAGTTACGCAACTCCAGAGCCATGACTGAGAACGTACATAAGGGATCTGGGCGGCCACCATGTCATCATACAAGCTGGCGATCTCAGAGTCGTTCTCGTATCCATAGCGACACAGCTGGAAACCCAAAGACCAGTAAGGTACCATCACAGGCCGCCAATCAGCTAGAAAATAGACAGGAAAATATTAGTCCTCAAACAGAGGCACCAGATTGAATGCATCAAGTAAAATATTTATGCATGCCCCAAGCTAGATAACTAATTAATTGAAACTACATCAAACTTACAGGATATAGAGCCACTGGGATACTTAGAGAAAGTTTTCTTGCCATTTGATTCCTTCTCTTTAAAAATTACAGAAAAGCTGATTTTACTCTATCCTAGAGATACTGTAGGTAACTCATTAAGAAGCCCAGTAGAGAATCAGAGACAAATGCCTAGCTTGTTATTAAGGTACTCCAACAATCCTGCTATCTGTGTGAACTGGAAGCAAATATTAAGTAAACTCTTAGTGCTTCAGTTTCTTCATCTGTACTAAGGGATAATAATAGCATCTGCCATCACATTCCTGTGAGGCATGAATTATTAATAATGGTGAAGTACTTAACATGCAGCAAAAGTGAAAATCAGTGATGTGCACTTGCTAGTATATAAGCGTTCGTTGTTGCTGCCACAACCACCATGGTCATGGTCACCATCATCATTATCAACGCTACCATCATCACTATTTTCACCATCACCAAGAGTACCAATGATCATGCCCCCACCACCATCATTACCATAATAATACCCTTCCCACCATCACCACCACCCAACTACCACCCCCACCACCATCCCTCCCAATACTACCATCACAACCGCCATCACCAACATCACACTCCTCACATCACCCCACTGTCACCACCACCACCACCACAACCATAACCACCATCATCATCATCACCATCACTACCACAAATACCATCATCGCCCCCACCCTAGTCACCATCACCACCACTATCATTATCTCCAATACACCCATCACCACCACTACCACCACTATCATCACCATCACCACTTACCACTACTACCACCAATATTATGACCATTCCCACATCATTATCACCACCGTCAGCCCCTACTGCCATCATCACCATCACCAACACCATAACCACAAACACCACCATCAACCACATTATCACTACCATCACCACCAATTAGTACCAATATACCTCTGCCTTCTGCAATGCTTACAGAGGCTATAAGAGCTAATGATAATCAGAATGTGTTTTGTTTTTTCTATTCTATAATCTCTCTCCAAGAAAAACCAATATTTCCAGTTATCATCTGAGAGTTACACTAATCAATGTGGTCTCTGGCATCCAGAATGTGCTGTATAAGTGCTTGATAAACAACTGGATTTCTTCCTACCTCAGTGTACTGCTGGGTGACAAGCTCTGGAGTTGGCCCCAAGAACACATAAAAGTCCAGAACTCCCCCCTGTGGCACGGTATGTCAAGGCAGGCAGGGGCTGGAACGCCACGCCTCGAAAATGAAGAAAATGCTAAGCCAGATGGAAACCTTCCACATCACGAGGGAAACCTTCCACATCACCCCCGGAAATCCACACATTCTTCATCTTCCAAAATCTCTCCCTATCATAGAGTGGTAAGAACAGGCATTTTCTATCATAATCACAGAACTGAAGAAGATCAGTAGAAGTCAACAGGTTCTATTCCTGCATTTGATTCTCTTTGGGGTACTTTATCATATTTTGTCGTTTCTACTCTTATATAATTACTATATTTTACATTTCAAGTTTTATGTTGGATAAAGAGATACACGTTCAGGTTTCTTACATGGGAATATTGTGTGATGCTGAGGTTCGGGTATGGATCCCATCACCCAGACAGTGAGCAGAGTACCCTAGAGAGAGTTTTTCAATGTACCTTACACACTCAGACCCCCCAGACTAATCCTCTGGACCCATAGTTTTAGCCTAATTCAAATTATATAACTGGCTCCCATGAGCTGGACCTCAAGGATACATAGGGACCCACATGATGTTACTATCCCTTCTTACATGATTTTTACCAAAATAAGAGTTGGGTTAAATCTTATTATCACATGATATTAGACTGAAATAAATAGAAAGGCTAAACATACAGAAAAAATAAACACCAATGCCTATAAAATGAAAATTTTGACTTCAAGGAAGAGTTAGGGTAAATACATTCAAAACTGACTAAGCATGATTGGTAGCTCCCAAAATAAGGGGAGGCGCTTACCCATGGCATTGCTGTTCAGGAGGAACACTCCGTGGCACTGCCATCCTTCAGCCCCATGTAGGTGGACACCATAGGAATTCTTCTTGTACTGGAGAGTCATGGAGAGAAGCAGTAGGAGTTTAAAAGACATCATGCCCAGAAAGAAACTCAACAAAAATGTGTTTGCTAAGATGTGTCTAGTTTTCTCCAATGTAAATCAATTAAACACCTGAAACAAAGGAGCCTGAGAATTGGCCCACTCCTCTAAACCGGGAATGAGATGACCAAGTAGAGTTTGGAAGATGAAACCTAAGCCTGAGCAGTGTGGGTGGAGAGAAGCAGAGACACAGATCCCAAATGCTCTGTTCCCACCCCTGGGGCTGGTCTCGGGAGAACATCCCCAAGTGTACCCAAGTCTCTCCATAGGACGTGTGCTCAGTTTCCCCAAAGCCATAGAGGTACTTGGAGGGAAGGCGGGTGGAGATGCGGATAAACATGTCATTGAAGGTGAAGCCAAGGAGCTGAGAGTCCCAACTGAAACACAAAAAGGTAGATTTGAAACAGAAAATGGATTTTTCTCTCTGCTTCCAGCAGCTGACTTTTCAAGGACAACAGAATACTGATTTTATCCAGAACCCATGTTCTCATCTCCAAAACAAAACAGAAACTCAACTTGATTAAAATACCATGATATCCTCGCTAAAACCCATGAGTTATTCTTCCTTCATCTGTTTCCCCCACTGTCACTGCCTCTTCAGTGGTCCTCCACAATAAAAATCACACACCTCACCATCACAGCTGGGCACTCCACATCAGCAAGGCACTCCTCAGTGCATTTTTCTACGTAGGCACTCAAACTGATATTTAGTTTTTATTGGTTGTCATGAGAAGACAACCCTCAGCTGTCTACAGAGAGCAGCACCTCCTCTAGATAAGGCACCCCATAAACATTTGTTGGATGAATCCTCAGGCACACTAAACTGCCTCAGTAATTATTTCCAGAATGCTAAAGATTTCTCAGAAGAACAGGCCTGAAGGAAACAACTCATCCATGGATCTGGAAGTGGACAATGTGATGTTTGGAACCAGGATACATTCACATGACAATGGACCCGGCAGCAAAGGCACAGGTAGACATCAACTGTGAGTCACACTAGCCACTCACATTATAGTTCCTGTACTTGCGCGAATCAATCCCAAATGGATTCTTCTTAATGAGGACATCATAGAGTTGAACCAGGGAGGTTGGATGGCACCATGGGTACGCTCAGAGGAACTGAACTTCATAATCACTGTTGTTGGGACTGGCAAATCTAGGCCAGAGGAAATCACAAACATTTTAGCAAGAATAGTATTCTTGAAACCTATACCCTTAGCAGAACCTTTTTTATTTTTGGACAAAAAGTTCAGATGCTATGTTTCTGTCTTCTTTAAGTTTATGATATCTCAGATTTAATTAATATATCAAATAACAACATAGGATTTAACATTTTTCTGTCATTTCTCATTATTCCAGCTCTGTTACATTAATATACTCAGTGGGACATTGGTGCTGACTTGGAAAGTCATTCTGGAATCAGTGTAGTAGTTATATGTTACTGCAGTTATTTTATGGGTATATGAGTATATATAAATACTCTTAAAACCATTTGTTGAAAAACAAACTGTCTCCCCAAAATGAAATCAATTTAAATTAAAATAATCTGAATGTCCTTGCTGAAGGTGGTACCTAAACTGATTCATGAGTACCTAAGACATCCCTGTCTGACACAGCACAAGACATGTGTGGATATGCTGTGTAAGGCAGTGTTATGATTTTACAAAATTCATAATGATTAGTGAAAGAGAGCAGCTCACAACACCTGGGTGATGTGTGCTAAGGGACAGCTATGTAGAATTAAGCGAGATTCGAGGAAGGAAATGCCTAACATTGTTTCTGGGAGACTGAGATGGTGTCATGGGAGAAACACATGATGACTCTTAAAAGCTTGGTAGTTATTAACCAAACAAACAAGGGAGATCAAAAGTCATTCTGTTGAAGAATAACAACCGCACAGGCAGAGAGTACTAAAGTGGGCCGTAAAGAGGCAAATATTTTGGAAAGAGCTACTCTATGGTCAAGAGGTAGACTAGTAACGGTTAAGTGCTAGAACTCCAAGGAAGGTCATTCACTCCAAACTCATTGGGTGCCTACAACATGCTAGTACTATGATGTACAAACATACATCAGCATCATCCCCTGGCCAGATGTACAAAAACTCAGAATTCGGGTTGATGCCAGATTATAAAGAACCTTTCAGGCATTGCATAACGTCCTCATCACTTTCACTTACTGTGTCAATAATATTACAGCGCTATGTGCCAGGTTCTGTATTAGACTTCAGAAACACAAAGATGAAAGGGCACATTCTTGTCCTTGAGAAGCTTAGTTTAATAGAGAACTAGACATAACAGCTAGTCCATCCCTAGCCCTTAAATGCAATTAAATCTTGGAAAGGAATGAAATTACTGCATCTTGATGCCTATTTTACAGAAATCTGCAAATTTGCATCCCAAAATGAACATATCATCTGATATTTATCAAGCACAAACATTTTCATTATTCCTATTCCAGTTAATGTCAGCAATTCATCCATATTAAGATGCAAGATAGAACACAGTCTTTATTCTTGATTTTCCCTCTTCATTGTCACCTGCTTGCAATCGAGCATTATATCCTGTAATTCAACTTTCTCTCAACCTCAGACAGGTCCACTCTTCTCCACCTGCATTCCAGTGTCTAGTCCAAATCTAATCCCTCAACTGACCTGCCTAACTGGTAGCCTCCCAACTTGTCTCTCCGTACGCTTCTCTCCCAACCATCTCCTAACAGCAGTCACAGTAATCTTTTCCAAATGAAAATCAGGCAGGTCTCATTGTTCCCCTCAATGATTTCTCAACGTCTCTGGATAAATGTCTAGCCTTTGTCACATGATTAACTTATTTTAGGGTTCTGGGACTTGGACCAATAAAAGGTAATGGAACTGAAAAGGGTCTAATCACTACCTGATACATGTACTGTGTTTACCTTGAACTGCAGCATTTCATTCTTATGGTAAGTGACATCCAGGCTAAGGGGGTTCACGGGTGTGGAGGGGAAGACAGACACCAGACTTTAAGGAGATGTCAGCTGTGGCCCCATGAATTATATTGAACATTACTGACAGAGTATAAGATCGTTGACAAATAGCAAAAAGGGACTCCAGAAGAATTGGATGCCTGAAAAGTAAGGATAAAGTCATAGATCAGCACAGCACGTGGTCTTAAAGTTCTCTAACCTAAACAGGGTAGAAACATCATTTCCATATGACAAATAAAAACCAGCCCATCACTGATCACTTGGCAATAACATAAATTTAAATTCCTGGTCTCCAAGCAAAATATTCATTTTAAAAAGTTTCACATATGTCCCCACCTACTCATCACATCCAGATCATGTCCCTTAGGAAGACCTTTCTATGGATTTTAAGTAGTTATGTAAGTGCTACTGCTGTGCTTAAGAAACTATACATTAGGTGTGGAGATTTCCATGCATGTGAACTCCCAGCAGCATACACTCCCAGATACAGCCACGGCAGTGCAGGTTTCTGCAGAAGCGCCACATTGATCAGGGTAACAGTCTATTTTTTCAAAATCCCTCTCTTTATATCCCACTCCAATGTGCATGCTTCTCTAGAAAAGATCAAATGTCTGCAATAATCGCAACCTGTAGGAATGCAGAAATTACAAGGAAATTCATCTTTAGGAGATAGGCCTTGCAAGATCTGAGGTCTTTTTTTTTAAGAAAGAAAATAGAAATTTGACTAGACATTCAACCATCCAACCAACACATGACTTTACTCATAAGAAGAGAACCGCACATTGGGGGAATCTAATTAGCAGCAACAGGGCAAATGTCTCTTCTCTAGCAGAATCTTGTACATAGAATAAAGAAAACAATTCGGTCAAATAAAACCCATCATGATCACCCCTTATTCTTTTCTGCTCTGACTCCTCTTAGTTCTCTGTGTCTTGTCAGGCAGGCTCTCTTTCTGCACTTCTCTTTAGCATGACACATGGTGTCACCTAAAGTGAGCTGGATCCCTGCTCTCCAGTCCCCAAACCAGTATCCCCCATTGGCGTGGAGTGGTAGAAAGAACACAGCATTAAGAATCACATGATCTGGTTATCATGTCTACATTTCCATAGAACATTGAACAAATGATTTCTTTAATTTTAATTTAATGGGTATATAGTAGGTATAGAAATTTATGGTTATATGAAATATGTTGATTCAGGCATACAATGCATAATAATCACATCAGGGTAAGTCGGGTATTCTGTTTCATTTATTTGGGTTTCAATTTTAGCAACAGCAAAATTGGAGAGAGGTTGAAAAAAATCATATATATTTCTTTGCATTTCTAACACCCCAGCCTCTTTCTGTTTCTGTAACCCCAAAGACTACAATTTTCTCACTTGTCTGGAATAATAAAATCACATTCTAAAATCATCATCCTTCTCCCAGTCTCCTCCCAGTCTAAACCATCTTGTACTTCCTGTTCAACTAGTCCTCAAAACCCACTCCTCTACCCCAGAAATGCTCACACACAGTAGCACACAGCCTTTCATTCAAGGATCAACGTGAAGCCCTTTGACAATTAAACTGCTGGTACCTAAGACCTCCAAAATCTGACCACAAGTTTCCTTATAAACTGGCCTCTTTTTCAAAACCGAATCTTATCTATGTTATTCCAGTCATGTAATTTTCACAGGCTAATCATGTAAGGCTATTCCCACTTCCTAACTTTGCTCTTCTTGTGCCTCATTGTAATTATAATTCTATTTGAGGGAAAAGGAAGGGAAATCAGTTAGAGAGAGAAGAACATTGAGAGGCAGAAAAGTGATTAAGAAGGTAAACACCCAACTCATTCTAGCTCTTGCCACCTCATTTTATTCCCAGTCCTCTAACTTCCCTAAAACAGGCCACATGGTTGCTCTATTCTCGAGATCCCATGCAACCTTGGCAAAAAGGAACACCATGATACTATGGAGAATTCTCAATACACCATCTCAACAAAATGGGGTTTTACCTTCAGGTTAGAATCGTATGACTGGTAGGAGAAGTCTGACTTGGGACAATACTAGTTTCACTGTAACATTGCTAGGTTCCTCCGTCCCAAGAATTTTAATCTCATTAAATGCTAAATTATTGGGGTCCTTGTAGGTTGATTGTGAAATAGATCACTTCAAGCGGTTCTGCAAAACAAGTAAGTCCACTGCATAAAGGTATGCCTGCACACACAGATTGTAAAGTCACTAAATATTCCATTCCAGACTGTGATACCCCACTGCCCTGATGCCTCTCTGCTTTCTCTACTAGTGTGTGCTCAAGAAGTACAAAATTATTTTGATAATCCTCTAATTTAAAACAATCATAAAAACACACAGATATTTTTACACTGTATTTACAAATGCTATTTGCTATATTAATGCCTCCTTTTGAAAACTTTGAT